TAGATTTATTGATAAGCCCGCAATTCTACATATGCGGGCTTGGCAGCATAGAACTGCGTCCTGGAAATAATTCATGCGAAGAGCCCTCCCCTCTCTTTCTTGCACCATTCTCAGACCAGAGCATCTCTCTCTCTGTCTCTCTCTCTCATATAATCTCCATAAATTCTCTCTCTCTCTCTCAATCGAAAGCATTAACTCTGCAGAGCTCTATAATCTCTCTGCAGAGCTCTATAATCTCTCTTTCTCTCTCTGAATCCCGTAATCCCCCACCTTCAATTTAACGTATGGATTTCGATGACGAAGTCGAGAGAGGAGTAGAAGAACTCAATTTGCTTTTCTTAAACGAACCAGAACCAGAGAAAGTGGTAATTCAAGCCATAAACCCCTCAATTTGGAACAATTTGCCTCCTGATATCTTAGAGAGAGTGATCCACCATCTCCCTGCTCTCTCCCTCTTAAAATTCAGAACTATTTGCAGAGACTGGTATCGCCTCATCTCTTCTCGATCTTTCTCTCACTACTGTAACGACCCCTGGTTCGCCATATTCCCCACAAAACCCTCCAACCATTTCTCTGCCTTTAACCCTGACCTTAACAAATGGCACAAGCTCTCTCTTTCCTTCTTACCCTGTGATTGCAACGGCCTCTCCTCATCAGGTGGCTTGATTTGTTGCAAAGGTGTGATCAATAATTCTCTCTCTATTATTGTATGCAACCCTATATCTCAAAACTATGTAATTTTGCCTCCTTTGCTGAGAAAAAGGATTGTTCCCATAGTGAACATCATAAATCTAGGTTTGGGGTTTCGAGTCATTGTTGCTGGGGATGATGTTTTAGCAGATGGGCATAGTGTTAGCGATTTAACATCGGAAATTTACGATTCAGCTACTGGTGAATGGTCGATGAGTGGACGTTTGCCCCCTCAATCTGACCTAGAATTTGGATCTGCTTTCTGCCGTGGGATCCTCTATGTCCCCACCTATCGACCAATCGGGACTGTTCGTTTTGACCCACAATTGGGAATGTGGTCTAGGGTGCCGGCTTTTGTTCCTAGAAACTCGAGGAACGCAAGCTTGGTTGAATGTTCAGGTAGACTTTTCATGGTGGGTGGGGTTCAGAGGAAGCAATCAATAGTTGGAATTAGGGTTTGGGAGCTTTGTGATTGCTCAGTTTGGAGAGAATTCGCGAGAATGAGGAGACAGGTTTTGAGGAAGATGAAGCTAAGGCTTGGGGATTTGTATTTTAGCGCAGTAGGTCATGGGGATTTTATTTGTTTGTCAATTTATGAGAGCCCCGTGATGATCGGGTTTAACATTGCTGACAAGAAATGGATTTGGCTGCCTCAGTTTCCCTGGGTGGGCTCGTTCGATGGGGTTCACTTGCTGGGGCACCCATATAAGCCTACACTGCATACTCCCGTTGACTAAAGGTAACCATTTTCTCAATTATTTTTACAAAATATTCTCTCTCCCTTTTTTTTTATGCTTGTGTATATTGAATTTTGTCTTCCAGGATTGAGGTGCATGCATAAGGAACTGAAGGTGATTACTATTTGTTGTTTTGCTTTTTGAGACTAAGTGGGGTAGCTGAAAGTTATTTTTCCTGTCTGTATTTTTTGTTTTTCAGATTTTCAAGATTCTGATGTATATATATGGAAGCTGAAATTGTTGTTGAGGTAACCAGCATCAAGGACTCGGAAGTGTCTCTTTCTTTTCTGTTGTTTCAGTATATTTTAAGGGTTTTTAGTGGTAATGTAAGATCTGGGAGTTGGGGAACAATGAATTTGGTTGTTGCATCAAAATTGTATGTAATTAATCATAACAAGAATTACGTAGATTAGCTGGCTTTTTGGTTTCTGACAACTTCTTTTACCATGTTAAGAATATTGAAGAAAAATATGCAGTTGTTTTCTATAGTCCGCCTCCCCATCCTCGAAGAGAAAAATAGAATTTTGTTGTTAGTGTCGAGAATTCTTTTGCTTTCTTTTCATCTTCTGTTCTTGATTATTCTGGATGATGTCTTAGTTAATTTTAGTTTCTTTTGTCTTTCCTTCTTTGTATTAGGTATAAAAAATTGAAGCACAATTGTTGTTACTTGTAACTATATCTTTGATCTCTGTGGGTAAGGTTCAATTTATTTTGAGTTTGACTTTCGACCATCTCCTTGGGATTATCTAGATGTGCTACGAAGAGAATAAAAATTGTGCCATGCAGTTTACAAAGAAAGATTCATTACTCACTATTCATTCTCTAAGTTGGTGCATTCTCTTGTCCAGTTCACCATATATCCTTCAAGCAAAAGAATCTGAAAAATTTTCCACATGTTAGTCACGCATTAGTATGAAGCTGTTGGAAGTTAGAATTGGGCTGATGTGGCTAAAAAAAATTATTCTCCTAGGAACTCTTCTTTTTGTGTTGATCGGTGGTTGTTTTGTAAGAACTCTTCCCTTAGATGAAAAGAGGCTATGCTTATTTTCCTTAAAAAAAATCCACAATAGGCGTCATAATTTATCAAAATGCACTATAACTGGTTTAGACAAACCTAAACATATACAAGGAGATAAATGGGATTAATGGATCCTCCTCTGTTATGGCAAGCTATGCTGACACCCAACCTATCAAGGGAGTTGGTGAGCATTTTTTGCTGTTATCATGATGTGCTGGAGAGATGCTCTATAACTAGTGTTGTGAATCTCCGCCATGGTACCTGTGGTCCTCCATGAGAAGGTTGTCTTTTTGGGCCCATTTGATGATGCTTAAAGAGTCTCCCTCTTCCAAAATTCCTTGTCAACAACGACCATGAGAAAGCATAATTTCTTACCCTGTCTGGCAAAGTCATCATGAGAATGGTAGTAAGCATAATTCTGATAAATGTTAGAACCATAGTTACTGGAATCTCTCCACTGACCTTGTGATTTCGGTTCTGAAACCTGATTCCACGTTTCCGTTAAGGAATCTCTACGGAAATAGTTTTTCGGAACCGGGGAAACTCGATTCCTTAATTTCGGAATCTCGAATCAACACATCTTTAGAAACTATTTTTGGGAACCAAGGAAATTCAATTCTTTAATTTTAGAATCTCGATTCAACACATCTTTAGAAACCATTTATCGGAACCAAAGAAACTCGATTCCTTAATTTCGGAATCTCGATCTAACACATCTTTAGAAACTTGAACCCAGTAATTGTGGGTAGACGTTCCCAAATATATCGAATCTGGATTCCTGCGGGGATTAAATCTGGATTAAAAAATAACTAAATTCAAAGTATCTTAGAAAAAAAAAACTAATTCAAAGTACATAATGTCTAATGTCTATGATGGTTGTGCACTTCCTAAAGGAAATTGGAGTAGAAATCTTCCTTCGAATGTTTCTAGTGGTTGCAGGTTTTCATTATTTTACTTGTGCCACCCTAGATGGCTTTTACTTTAAATTTAAAATATAACTAGTGAATACAACACATACAATTAAAAGTAAAACCATGGCGGAGACATAATCCTATTTTGTTTTTATGATAATGAAGTCAAAATCACAATTTAGAAATACTCATCTTTTGTAGATAATGACCATAAGTTCAATAGTCAACACAATCACTGTAAAATTTGGGAAACTTTCTGATAAGAGACATCCAATATAAGGTTCTAAAGTTGATAAGGCTCAAGATGTGCTTTGGGCTTCCTTCTCCATAAAAATGAAATCTCAATTCCTGGTAGGGATCGCCAAACGTATTTCATAGTCCATATTATTGTAAATCTCAATCTCAAATTGGCATGGATCTCTGATTCATATACTTCAAAAATTTGATTCCAAATATGTTTGAATCACGATTCGAAACAACAACATTTCTTTGTTCCACGTATGTCAGATTCCATAGATGTCGAAAACTCGATTCCACATATTAATGAATCTTGACTCCTGGAGTGTTGATTCCATGGGTTGGAAATCCACAATTCCATATGTGGATGAAACTTGGATCTATTTCGGTCGAAACACAATTCTCAAAAACTAGGAATCTCGTTCCCCATGATACCCATTGTACAGACAACGATTCCTAAGACAGGAATCTTCTAGCCGGCGGCGATTCCCCGATTCCGGTTCCTAAAACGATTCGGATTTCCAGGCGTTTCCAACACCTATGGTTAGAACCCCTAAGATAGCAGAACTCCTAAGCCTGTGACATATAGTAGCCAAAGTGGACTTTCTCCTCTTTCTTCTCCCCTTCAAAGGGGGTAAATTGCATCTCGAGGTCCAAATGCTAGATCTTATATAAATATATATCTATTAACAGATCTATGTAACAAAAGGCAAGAGGCAGCCTCAGGTGATTAGTGTTTGCCTCATGTAGAAAGCCTAGATGAGCACATGGCTTGCCAACTGCTTAAAAATAACTATATCACATTTTTAATATAGTATAAAATGAATAATACATATAAAAAAAATGATATAAAGCAACAATATGCCTATAAAAAGAAACACATACATGTTCTATTGCTCTATTATATAATTTGTTTATATAATTTTACTATACATTGTCTGTACAGAATATCTTATATTTGTACACATGTTAAAGGTTAAGTGACCCAGCAACATGGTGAGGTGAAAACCTACTCTACAAGATGCATCCTTACTATATAATTGGATTTCTCGGTGGCTCTTCTGGTTCTAGTTGTGTATACCAATTTATGCCAAACAATCTAAAAGTTTGAACTCCTATTCCTAATGTATGATACTAGGATATATAGAATGATACAGGTTTTCAGACTGTCTATAGCCTGGTGGTTGTATGGCTTATTCTGAATGTTTGGCTGTTGGTTCAAGTTCCACCTTTACCATACAAAAACAAAATAAAAAAATAAAAACAACAGACAAGTGTACAAAAGATTTTCGATTTGCCAACTTTATTGATGTGATTTCCTGAGTTGAATCTATATGTTGTCCTCTTTTTTCTAGTTGCATCAAGAACTAGCTTGGTAGCAGAGTGCATGGCACAACATCATAAAGGCTCATAGTGATAGAAGTTGTAGTCAGAGCAATGTGATTTTGGGATCTCATTGAATGGAATTATTGATTGGGTTTGTATGGGTGCCACATCCATGTTGGACATGTATTCCCACACATACAGGCACATTCATTTGGATTCTTCTACTTCTTCACTAACCATTTCCTGCATCATTTTAGAGAATTGATCTTTGATCTTCTTTTTTCTTATTTGATTAGACATATGAACTTTGAAAAGATGGCAATTTATGTCCTACCCCCTAATTATAGGCCACCTTAAAAGAAATGAGATTTTTTTGATATATCATATAAAACCATAACATTTTATTTCCATTTTATTATTAGTTTTTCAAAAAATCCAACACATATTTTTTCCAAGAATTTTTTTACCAAAATACCCCTTCACAAAGTCAAAAAAAAAGAAGAAGAAAAGACTAGCAGAAAAGAAAGACAATAGTTCCTAAAAGTAACCTTTAAAATAATTCCTAAAATTTTGGGATTTTGCCCTTTTTTGGTGTCTGTCTTACCTTTCTCTCTCTAATTGTATGTGTATCTCTCTCTAATCTGCTCTCCACTGTATTTTATCTTTCTAGTGTTCCTGCCATTTTTGCTATATTTTGACCTACCCAACAGGGGGGTTGAGTTTAGTTCATAACACTTGCAGATAAAAAAGGGTCTTAGGCTCTGAATCATCAGCAGAAATAGTCTTTTCTTGGCTTGGTTCTGAAGCACTCACTAAAATTGTTGTTTTCATAACTTTGTTTGACGTTCTCAAAAGCTAGGGTGTTGAGAATGATGGTCATAAAGGCATGTCTAAAAAGGCAATTTCAATCCAATGTTTTTTAAATTGATTCGGGGCAGGTACTCAGCCCTGGCCGCTCGGCTGAGTCTGATTGGACTCGGTTGAATCATGTACACCCAAAAAATCTAAAAAATAAAAAGTAAAAGTAAAAATCCCACGTGCCCAAGAGAGAGAAGGGGGTTGGGCATGGGGGAGCGGGGAGAGAGAAAGAGAGAGCTTGCTTATGAAACTGGGGATAAAGAAAAGCCTTTTCATGTCTCTTCAAACACTAGCAGAGAGGGAGAGGTCCTCTTCTTGCTCTGAAGCTTGCCACTAGGTCACCCGCTCCATGTAGCAGAGAAGCTCAGGCCACTGTTAAAGCATAAAATGATGCCTTATTGAATCCCTGTACTTCACCTTCTGAAAGATCCAGAGAGCTTCAATGAGTACGAAACAAATACCTATTGTAGGCTCCTCCTCATGATCCACCTCCCCTCACTCCATTTGACCTCTGCAACAAATGATGTACTGGCCCTTCTGACCCTTAAAAAACACCTAGATCCTCTCAACAAGTTTCCATGATGAGCTGAAAGTCTACCACTGCAAATGGTCAGGAGTCAAGCAATGCTTAAACGGCAGGGTCATGCCATGAAGCTCGTCCTCAAGTTCTAGGAACTTAATGAAACCCTAGAATCACAAGCGCTAACCCTAACCAGTCTAGACCAGAAAATGGGAGGTAGGGATCGATTCAGGAAGAGAAGGGAGCATCCCAAAATCTGATGAGAGAGAGAGGAGTTGAAAGGCTTTCGCTAGGCGAGAGAGGATTTGCAAGGCTTTTTCCCTGCTTAGAGAGAGAGAGAAGGTTGGTGCCCTGTTTTTAGAGAGAGAAAATTAGTCCTTATATTTAGAGAGAGATATGTGGTGACCTTTTTCCCAACTGTGTGATTTAGAGAGAGATTTAGAGAGAAAGGGAGTTTTTTCGGTAGTAAGAGAGAATGTACACCCAATTTCCAGGAAGGTATACTGTGTGCTAGGGGCACACTCACTTTGACCTCAGGCCATTCCGAGTAACTCAGCAGAGTTTGAATGGACTCTTTCGAGTCTAATAATGCTGATTCAATCGATAGGACTTGTTATGACATAACAGATGATCTGACACTCAAGTAATGCAAGCGAAAGTAAAGGAATGGAGTCGGGGGCATTGGTGGTTAGGGGTGCAGTTTCCTCAACATAACATTCTAGGTTCTATTCCCACCTTAACACTTAAAAAAAAGTACTGCAGAAGAAATTCACCTGATATACGCTTGGTAGAGATCAATAAGGATCATGGGCTAGATGTTTGCTTGCCTTGTGAGATCCCCATAGAGAATTTAACAAAATTGATAACGTGTGATAGAGGGAGGATGAGATTCCAGTCTGATGTTCTCTCTTTTCAATAGGTAATCAGAGCATGTTTCCTTTTAATTATTGTTTCTTTTGTCCATTTCTTTCTTCATCCTTTGTATAAAATGATATTGCTGTTTGCAAAATTATTTGGCAGTATTCTCGATTGTTTGATGTTTTTGGGTATTTTCTGCAGAAATCAAAGGGAAGATGGGTGTTCTTCACATTTACACAAAAAACGACTTTGAGTTATTGTTTTCCTTTCTCTTTCCTATTCTTTCTTGTTTAATATGTTTATGTTATGGCCATTAATTTTTTAGCAAGCATGAAAATAATTTTATTTTTCCTCCATTCTTTATTCTTGCTCTTTGTTTTTCACCAATAAAGGATACTTGATTACATGATTAACTTTAAATCCCAATGATTTGTATACTTCTGGGGCTCATCTGTTGCCCTCAAATTGCTTTTGTTCATCAAATATTCCCTTTTTATCTGTTCTTTTCAATTTTTTTGTTCTTTTCTAATCGTATGTTTGAGTATAAGAGGAGTATCTGCATTGACTGTTGTAACAGAGTCTTCTCTTGTGAAAAAAGGTTTGTGATCAGAGAGTAGTTGGAGATCTTTGAGATGTGGTGACCAAAAAGTGATAAAACGAGGAGAAAAAGCTTGCAAGGGTTCAACAATGGTGGATGATTTTGTGGCTGATGTGGAACTAGTGAGAGTAGAGCTTTATAGAGGGGAAATATCTTGTTTTGTGGTGTTTGCTTGTATGATTGAAGCTCTTGGTGGATCTCTCTTTGTTTATGATTTAACTATTTCAAGTTATCATAATTTTGCAGGTTTTTCAATAAATTCAATGATAATTTTTTTCTTTCTTCTTTTAACTATCATTTTATGCAATTTTTAAGCTTTGTGAGAAGGGCATTTTGGTCCAAAAACACTTGGCAAAAATATGTGGCTGGTTTGTTGAAAATAAATAAAATGCTGTTGGTTTTATTTGATATTTTGTGCTACTCGAAAGGCGGCTTATTTGGGGGTTAGGACATGAACTTTCCTTGAAATTATCTATGCATTCAGGCATCTACGATATAATTGATTTTTTTTATTCATCAGAAAATTGAATTCAAGTAAACATCGTTAATATTTGGTTCTCTTTATATTTAAAGCCTTGTCGCCTAATCCTTTTCTTTGTGATATGAAGAATCTGATGTCCTTAACTGTCTCAGACACTGACACTAACACATGTACTCGTGTGTCCATGCAACATAAATAGCCATGGATGTGGCATGATTAATGAGAGCTCAGGCTTGTGGAGGGGTGGCTTTTCTGGTATAAAGCTTGAGAAGAGATTCTTTCCAGGTTGTACCTTGGCATTAACTTTGCGGGCCTTGACCTTGGCTATGCGGACCATTCCTTTTGAATCTTTCTCCCTTAGTATAGTCAGAAATGTTTCCAATTTGATTGGCAAGCGAAGTGCTCAAGGTGCTTGTTTTTCCATGGGGAAGAGTGAGTAAAGTGTTGACTAGTGACCCAAGATAGACAAAAAAAAGTAAAAATCTTGACACAATAGTTCTTGAATGAATGGAGACTGAAGCGTATTTTTGTAGGAAATCAAGAATGAGGTGTATGTTGATTTCCCTTCAATGGACTACAACCTGGGTCTATAGTCTAAATGGATGTCGTGGCATAGGAAAGCTTAGACCATTCTCCTTTGGTTGGATTTATGCGCAATTAGGCCTGTCAATTGGGTAGGGTTTACCTGCCAACCTGTCGGGTCTACCTGACCCGGGTATGGGTCTAGGTCCAGGCTTGGGATCCAATGGGTCGGATCGGGGTCCAGAAGCTTGGACCTTACTACTTCTGGGTGTGTTCAGGTCCAGGTCAACATGACTTGAGCCAGTTGGGTATTTAGATTTTTTTTATAATATAATATATAATTTATGCAATATAAATTACTCTTCATATAATTTACCCCCAAAATTTGAAATTGCCCTCTCTCTCTTTCTAAAACCCCAACTATATTGAACCTGTCATTGTTGTTACTTTCTTCATTCCCTGCACTGCTCTCTTGCCATGGCCACCCGCTTCTTCTTTGGATCTATGATGCAAAATGGATTATTTGAGTAACATAAGAAGCATAAAGGGCCATGGAACTACTGGAGAAAAAGGCAACGGCACCTAATACACCATTTGCTATGGAGGAGCCAGAGTAATATGAAGGACAAGATGGAGCTGGGAAGAAGGCTAGTGAGAGGCATTGCTGGCGATGATGAGAGGCATTTTAGGTTGAAGGGATTGCCATGATTCAATCCGTTCTTTGTTGAGGAGGAGGCGATGGATTTATTTCTGGACCTCTTCAACCCATTCTCTTCATTTTCTCGTTCTTCCTCTCAGTCCTCCATTGTAATCTGCTTAAGATCTGAAAAACCCCTTTCCGTGGCATCTCCATTAGAAGGCCCAAATAATTGACTGAGTGACTATATCTTTGCACTGGAGTTAGGGTTTGACGAGTTCTGCAAGGTCGATAGGTTGGATGAATGAATGGAGGGTTAAGATCAAAGGAAATGCAACCCAAGGCTGGAGGATATTGATAGATGTATATCAAAGGAAGCAAAAACCTAGGCAAGAAGTATAAATGGATGCCTAAGATGAAAGGGGCAAGAAGGAAGCAGGGGCTTCCCATAACCTGGGTGGTCGGGTCTGGGTGGGGATTCTTGGACCCTGTTGGGTCGAGGTCTGGTTCCTGGTTTGGTCACCTGAGTATATTAACCCGACCCAACATGTTTATATCCCTAAGCACAATTGGATCAATGGATCTTTGTTTACCTCTCTGCATTCATAATAAATGTAAATATTGGTCAAGTCCCTATTCCCTTCCTTTTTGTAATAATAAATCTATGCCCGGGAAATTTGAATTTTTATGTTATTATAATATTGGCTGGGTTTTCTTACGTTATTAGATTTTCTTTAGGTATTCATGTTTCTAGATTCTTATTAAGATCATCATTTACTTCAGAATCATCAAGGCCTTGGTTGTGAAGTAGTTGTAGGTGAATGGATAAATTTTTTACTGTTCTGCAAAAGTGGACTAGTTGTGGATTATAATGTCTAAGAGGAAGCTGGAACTATTCTTCTGAAGGCTAGAAGTCTAATATTAAGCATCTTAGGAAAACCACAATATCTTGTGTGGTTGTTCTATAGAAAGCCACTCGATCATCTGAAATAATTCTACTTTTGACTGTGAGATCATAACAATTCATGTTATTACTAACTAGCTGTTGTCCTACCCGCCATTGTAAGGTGGTTGCATGTTAGTTGTATAATTATGTCAAAAGAAAATTCAAAACTAAGTATGCCTTTTGACAAAATAATCTTGGGAGGTATGAGCTTTTATGTGGTTGTGGCAATGTAATAGTGCAAGTATAATGTTGAAAAATGTGGGCCTGGAGATTAGAAAGATTGGACAAACATGTCACAGTCAAAAGTCGAGAATGATCAACGATCTGCTGGTGTTCTCAATAATTGATGTAGGAGCTACAGCAGTCTTGACTTGTAGTTTTTATTTATTTATTTATATTATTTAATTCTCATTGTTTCTTTGTAAGAGGGATGGTCATTATTTAGTTAATAGGGTTGAAGTTGTCATTTAAATAATTGTCATTTAGGGCTTAAAATCCAAAGAAAAACTCAAGACTGTTCAAGCTCCTGCATTAGAGTCCATTGGTTAGAGAAAACTCGCGCCCGAGTTTTGAAGTGGGCTAGGATGAATCCTATCTTAAACTTGTGGTCGTGGTCGACCTTGAAGGCCTTGTCATTATACTTAGTACAATATTTAAACTTTCCCATTTGTTGATACACTACCACTCAATAAGATTTGTCTTTATCGTTGATCTTTTTTCAGTTAAACAAGATTTGTCTTCTTCAACCTCCATACCTTTTTAATAGTAATTGATCACATTATCAAGAACCTCTTTCTAATAGTAATTGATCACATTATCAAGAACCTCATATGTTGCATTCACAAACTCTCCCCTTTGTGTCTCCCTCCTTAGACTTCTTTCTTCCTCTAAATTCTCTCAAGACTCTAGCTCCTCTAGGTTCAAGATGATATCAAGGAATGGTGACCTTCAACTTGTTCTTTATCATATATCGGACCACCCATGGGATCAAAGTGATCATCAAGTGGAAGATCAAAACCCCATGCAATGATTGTGGAAATGATTCTCATCTAATTGTGAATCATCTCCCGACTCAACATCCAATTCACAAACAGGTTGATCGGGTCCACAAGGCTTGAATTTCTTGTACCATTCGATCTACTTGTCTCCATACCTCTTGGATCATGTCAATTTGAGCTTGGTTGCGCCTTCCTCCTCCGCCATGTCCCCTAGCTGCCATGGCGGATCAATAAGCCTGCCATGCTACCAATTTGATACGTCAAAACAGAAGGGAAGAGAGTAGAGAGTAGAGAGTAGAGATTCTAGCCACAAAAAACTTAATACCTAAATCAATCACACCATAAGCAGGAAAAAAACAAGAGAGAGGAACAAATCTGTTGTGCAAGCTTTCTCCTAGGAAAGCATTTTTTTTCTCAGTCAATTCAAGTCTGAGAAAGGTGTTCCTTCCATCCCTAGTATATCTCTTCTGATACGTAAAAAAATAACTAATTAAATAAATCTTGCCCCAACATAAGTAGTCTTATTCCTTTGATCCGTTTCAATTAGGATATGTATATTTCATACCATGGTGATCGATTATATTCACTTTCAAGTGAATGATCCACTAGTTAGCCTCTACTGCTCTCTCTATTGAGTATTATTATTATTTTTTTGAACATTAATACACGGGGGAATATTCTATCTCTTAACTAATATATTTTCTGCAAAATCCCCACTTTCTAGGACGTTACCTTACTTCTTCTCTCCCCCTAGCCATGTGCGTACCTCTAACCTCTCACCCAAGCCCTATTAAAATAAGGAAAAAGTATATATAAGGATGCAACCTTATAATGTAGAATTATGGATGCAATGTAGAATTATGGATGCACTTCAAAAATCCATCGGAAAAGGTAGTTTTAATGTTGAAAAACCCTTTGATTGATCATGTCGATGTCGAGATGTAACTTAATGGTCCAAATGTTTTCTCAATATACTTATTATTTTTAGTTTTCAAAGTTTTTTTTTTTCATATTCATGATCTCCATGTTAAAATTATATGTTCTCTAAAAATTAGGATTAAATTATATTTTAAAAATATATTTATTGTCAAGCTTGCATTTCTACAATATGCAGGCTGGGCGTATTATTCCTAATCAATCATTACCTGAGACCTATATTTTTTTTTTTGATATTTCAGCAGTAGAAATCGAGGAAATCAGATCCATGGGACATAATTTGTCTTTTTACTTTTTAAACTCTTATTTTGAATTAATGTAAATAATAATCCGTTCTTTTTAACCCATAATTCAACAAGGGAAAGATTTTTATGTTCCCCTTACAACATAGAAGTTCTATCCTCTCCCTTATCCAACCCTCCATTTTTGAATGAAGGGTTAAGATTGCCTCAATCACAATATCACATCTCTACACTATTTTATTTTTAATTTTTTTTTCTATAAACTATTTTGACACCAAAATTTGGACGTCCATTCCTCTATTAAACTTGCGCCAACGAAAAATATTTTCAATAAAATAAAATGACTAAAATACCCCTGAAAATTTCAAGCGATATTTTGATCATTATTTTTTATAAAAAAAATATTATTAATGTTTTTTATAGGTGCGCCCCAATGAGAAGATGGCACGTAGCAAATTTCATATTTAGAAAATTTGTATGAAAAAACTAAAACTAAAATACTTTGAGACGTCGGATCTAAGATCAAATGGTGAGTGGCTCTCTTGATAAAAAATGGACGGCGGGATGGTAGGGGGAGGTTAGAACTTCTATGTTGTAGGGGGAACATAGAAAGCTTTTCCATTCAACAATTGAATAGTTTATTTCTAAAATACTTCTTATCTTTTACTATAAAATAGAATAGTTACTTTTCAAGGCTCGACATAGATGATGTTTCAAACAATAAACCTATATAGCTAAAAAATTTAAAAAAATGTAAAAATGTCATATTCATGATGTTTTCTTAGAAATCAATAATTAATTGATAATAAAAATTTGGAATTTATCATCTTAAGAAAAATATCTCCATATCCCCTATATTTAGATTTTATTTTTTAATAAATCCAAGATTTCAAAAAATATCTTCCAACCCTCTAGCCACTTTAAACATGTTTTTAACCTAAACAAATGTGAGAAAGAAATGCCCTTTCTAAACTCAATCACTTCTCTCTCTTTTCATTTATGTATCCCAAACTTCTCTCTTTTTCTCTCTCTAGTTGCATGTTTCACTCTCTCCCCTCCTGTGTTTATCCAAACACATCTCTCTCTTCCGTGTGTTTATCCAAACATCTATCTCTATCTTCCGGTGTTTATCCAAACACCTATCTTATCTCTTTCTCTCTCTTGCTACGTGTTTCATTCTCTCTCCTCTTGTGATTATCCAAACACCTCTTATTCTCTATCTTCCTGTGTTTATCCAAACACTTATCTTTTCCCGTGTTTATCCAAACACCTCTCTCTTCTCCCAGTAACGTCTCACTACCAAACATCTCTTTGCTCCTGTGGGGAGAAACAAGAGAGGAGAGAGGAGAGAGAATGAGGGGAGAGATAGAAAATGTGAAGAGAGAGAGTAAGAGATTAGAGAAAAGAGAGTGAAAAATTAGAAAAGAGAGAGGAGAGAGAATGAGGGGAGAGATAACAAATGTGGAGAGAGAGAGAGAGAGTGAGGGATTAGAGAGGAGAGAGAGTGAGAGGAGAGAGATGGGAAATATGAAAAGAGAGAGAGTGAGGGATTAGAGATAGAAAAGAGAGAGATGGGAAAGGTGAAGAGAAAGAATGAGGGATTAAAGATAGAAAAGGGGTACGAGGAGAGAGAAAAGAGAGAAACAAGGAGTCCGAAGATAGGTTCACCTGTTAGAAGTTTCAATCTATGTGCTTTCTTTATTTAGTAACGAGCTTTGTTAAAGAGATCAGAGAGGGGCTGTAATAAAGAAAGATAAAAGGTTCTCTTTTAAAGCTATGGAGTGAATAAGGGCCATGTCCTTCACTCTATTACCTTCTATTCGAACTTTGACACTTCTCCGCTAAAGCCCTTACACTTCTCACTGTGAAACTTCTACCTCACTCCCTCAGAGAGAAACGAGTTTAAAATAGCTCGGGAAGTTAGAAGAAATAAAATCTACAATTTTATGCCCAAGAGATCTTTTAAAACCTTGAATCTATTGTGAAACGAAACCAAAAAATGGGGGGTATTGAGATATTTTCCCTTTATCTTATAGCTACAAATGCAACGGAAGCATTTTTTATAGGAAAAAGTTTAAATAAGATTGCAACCTTATACTATTGAAAACGTGCATCTCAAAAATCCTATACAAGAAAGTTTTTAGGTATTGGAGAAGCCTCTAATTGATTATAGCAACCTTGAGATGTATGGACATTAAGAAAATAATTCCAAATCTAAAAAATGGTAAGATTTTTAAGTATGTATCAATATGCTCGATCTATATCATTTTTTAAATTTTAAATTTTATAACTAGGGGTGAAGATATATTTGCAAGCCATCGTAAGGTTTTTGATGCCGGAATAATATCTCTATGCAAATTTTAGAGGTGCACTTAACTTCTACCATGCAAAGTATACCATGTAAGGAGGCAACTATTTACAAACCTCACCCTTTGTTAAAGGATGGGCACCAACTTAGTATGAAGAGAAAACGATATTAAAATATTCCAAGCAATTAAAGCTCACACTTAAAATATTCAAAATATTAAGAAGTTTTGACATTGTTTATCTTTTTGAGATAATTTTTTTAAAATAATTGGAATCCATCTTATAACTAGGCGGCCAAAGAAACCATATTTACAAGGGTACAGTTAAGGAGAGAGTGTTATTTGACAAGCGTGAAAAAAGTTGGAGGAAGAGTATTATTAGGTCAAACAAAATCGATCGCTCTTGTTAAAGATGATGGTACAAAAGTATAAAAACCCCACGCTACAAATTTAGTAAAATGTATATTATTTCAACATTTTAGAGAACAGATGTTAAATCCCATAGAAATTGATCATTATATAGCCCGCGTTTTCACAAAACATCAAAATACCCATGTATAATTAAATTCAATCCCGATCGTTTCATAACAGTAGATCTATTTTCTCTAAAATGTCCAATACAGAACAGAACACGAGGTCTTATTGAGAGAGAGAGAGAGAGAGTGAGTTAGTTGTGTCTTGTGATACAAACCAGTGACTCCGTCCCCTCATGGAAAAGAAAAAGAAATAGGATAAACAGGATTCATGTCGGGGTAAAACAAGCCAAAATTTTGGTCGAGGCCAGGGGTTTTTTTATTCTCATTGAACAATGCAAACAAGTAGGTGGACGTGATGATCCCAGGCCTCTTTGGTGTCCCGTTTCCATGGACAACGTGCTGTATCAAACCATTGTTATACTCCTGTGCCAGTGCCGGTGTGGTCTTGTCACCTTGACCCCCGCTCGGCCATCCACTCTCGGAGATGACGATACGGACCGTGCTCCCTCCCACCTTGTCCATGGCCGAATAAACTGCGTCGACTGAAGCATCAAAGAGGTTATTGTAGGTGAGGGGGCCATCTTGGACCACAGGAGCGGTGGGCCTGGAGAGGGCGTAGTCCAAGTTGATGCTCATGGGGTCTTCAAAAATTATTTCCTATTTTTCAGTTCAAACCTCCTAGAATTGATATCTAGTGAATTTTGCCCCCTTTTTTTTTTTGATGCGGCTTGTATAGAGCCCAGGCTCTAAACAATCAAATTAGAGCGTACCTTCAAATAGTATCGAGAAATGTGGTTTCAACATTGAAAATATTCGTAATAGCCTTAGAATATATTTTCATCTTTATCTATACATTTTAAAACTTCAAAAATAGTGTAGATCAATAGATCTATGAAAACTTAAAAATATTGAAAATTGACGGTCTAAAAATGCATTACAAAATACACTATTTTCAAAACTTGAAAATTATTATTTTTCTCATGTCCATGCATTTTAATGTTGAGATGATCAACTTGAGGATATTTGGGATTCAAAACAACCTCTTCTAATGAAATTTTTTAGGTGGGCTCTAATTTGATTGTTTAGAGCCTACGAACTTCTATATAAATTTCGTTGTTAGTTTTTTTTGGTAAAGTTCTAAGTTAAGACGTCCCGAAGTCGTACTAACAATTCGATTAAGA